TGCAATCGTAGCGACTACCGACAACAGTGTAATACCAGCGGGCGGAGCCTTCTCAGTTCATGGCGTCACCATTTATCTTACATTACTTTGCTAATTCGCTCCCTGTTTCACTGGCATAGCTCACAAAATAAGAAAAAAATCTCGAAAATCCGAGCGAATCCGAGAGAATCCGAGAGAATTTCGCTTCAAATTAACGGGAGCATCATCCAATCTCCGCTGTATGTCTCTATATCTATCTTTCTTCCGCTATTTCTGTACCTATTGGAAGATCCGTTCTAATTTCTTTTCAATTTGGTTATTATTTCTGTGATTTGCTTAGTAATGTAATGCAACCGACCAAAGCATCTAATAATTCCTCGCGTTTCGGGATTTTTCTTGGTACAACGTTCCATTGGGTTGCGTCTTCGCTCTTTCTCTAGATTCGATCGCATTGTTCGACATTTACGTCACGTTGTTTGAATCCTCTGGCTGCTATTTCTAATTCTTCCTTCTTTTGCATAGTGTTCTACAGTATTTTCAGTTGTTTTTTCGCATCGGAAATCGTAGTCGAGCGAGGTATTGGTGTTTTTTCTTCTGGATTTTGGGATTTGGTGACGGACTTGTGAGCGATTCTTCCGAAATGAAGACCTGGCAAGCAGCCGGATTGGATGTTTCCATCCGATGAGACGCCGGCCGGTAGTGATTGCTCCGTCGGAAAAGATGGACAGAGGAGCCGGGAAGAATCAGAAGTCTCGGCTTTGTTTTCTAGCGTTATTGTCGGCGTTCTTCTGGATCCTATTGTTATACTTTCATTTTGTTGTGCTTGGAGGACATGCTGTTGATGAATCGATCAAATTAAGCCTCGAAGATAAACCTGTAAACTTGCCGGTGGTCCGGAAATTTGCTCCTTCTCGTGTTGTCGACGCAACGAAAGTTGATGTGAAATCAATCCGCGAGCCTACAAAGCCTGTAGACCAGCAGCCTAAGTCCACCGCCAAACCTGAGGTTCAGAATTTTCCTTTTGTTAAAGCATTGAAAACTGTTGAAAACAAGAGCGATCCATGCGGTGGGAGGTATATATTTGTTCATGATCTTCCTTCTAGGTTTAATGAGGATATGCTGAAGGAGTGTAAGAGTCTAAGCCTTTGGACAAATATGTGCAAGTTCACAACTAACGCTGGGCTTGGTCCACCACTTGAGAATGTGGAAGGAGTGTTTTCAGATACAGGGTGGTATGCGACGAATCAATTTGCAGTCGATGTGATTTTCAGTAATCGAATGAAGCAATATGATTGTTTGACTAAGGATTCTTCCATTGCTTCTGCTTTTTTTGTACCATTTTATGCTGGATTTGATATTGCGAGATACCTTTGGGGATATAATATATCTACTAGAGATAGAGCTTCACTTGATTTGGTCGACTGGCTTGAGAAAAGGCCCGAATGGGGCGTTATGGGTGGTCGAGATCACTTCCTTGTTGCAGGTAGGATCACATGGGATTTCAGGAGGCTCTCTGAGGAAGAAACAGATTGGGGAAATAAGCTTCTGTTTTTACCTGCTGCTAAGAACATGTCCATGCTTGTGGTTGAATCAAGCCCATGGAATGCCAATGATTTTGGTATTCCATATCCAACATATTTTCATCCAGCAAAGGATGATGATGTGTTTATTTGGCAGGATCGGATGAGAAAGCTAGAACGCAAATGGCTGTTCTCGTTCGCTGGCGCTCCACGTCCCGACAATCCCAAGTCAATTAGAGGGCAGATTATTGATCAATGCAAGAAATCTAAGGTCTGCAAGCTACTCGAATGTGATTTTGGTGAGAGTAAGTGTCATTCTCCGAGTAGTATAATGCAGATGTTTCAGAGCTCCCTTTTCTGCCTGCAACCTCAGGGTGACTCATATACTCGAAGATCTGCCTTTGACGCTATGCTAGCTGGCTGCATACCCGTCTTCTTCCATCCAGGGTCAGCATACACCCAATACACTTGGCATCTCCCCAAGAATTTTACAAGATATTCAGTATTCATCCCAGAGGACGATATCCGCAAGAGAAATGTTAGCATAGAAGAAAGGCTTTCACAAATTTCTCCTGAGCAGCTGAAGCTAATGCAGGAGGAGGTAATCAGTATGATTCCGAGATTGGTATACGCTGATCCACGCTCTAAGTTGGAGACTTTGAAAGATGCTTTCGATGTCTCGGTGCAAGCCATTATCGACAAGGTTACGAAGTTGAGGAAAGATATTATTGAAGGACACACAGACAAAAATTTTATCGAGGAAAATAGTTGGAAGTATGCGTTACTGGAAGACGGGCAGCGGGAAGTTGGACCTCATGAATGGGATCCCTTCTTCTCCAAACCAAAGGATGGGGATTCTGGTGATACATCTGCAGGCGCTGCAAAAAATTCATGGAAAAATGAGCAGAGAGACAAATCATTAAATTCCTAATGATTTCCACAGATAAGTTTTAATTTCTAAAGAACAGGTTCCTGCATCAAGCCAGGGACGTTTTATAGATTGAAGGCTTAATCACCATCCAGTTAAAGGGCTGTCCTTCAAAAACATTGCAGCGGGTCAGTCCTTCAAAAACATTGCAGCGGGTCAGTCCTTTGCTTATAGTTTTCTTATACAGAAATCATAGTTCCTTACATGCTTTTCTCTCTAATTCTCTTTATTCTTTGGATTGAAATTTCTCATTTTGTTGGCTACTTCTTCCTTCTCAAAACAGTGCACAAATCAAATCATTTAGATTTTAGTGTCGTGATTGCTTCACTTTTTGGAGCATTAAAGCTCATCTGAGCGAAATGATATACCAGAACCGAGCCATAATTATTTGAAATCGTTTTTTTTCCTTCAGAAATGGTATTGCTTTTCATTGGCAAAATAACCTGTGTTGCACTGTTAGAGTATTAATTAAATACCGCTTACTCAGCTCTTCTTGATTTGTTCTTGGGTTGAGTTTTGGCTAGCGGTGTCTGATAGAAAGATAAGCTCGCTCCCATACTTGGCCGTCAGTTGGGTTTCTATCTGCTTCGACCATCGTGCCAATTTTTTATTTTTTTTTTAAAGTGAAAATTCCAACTTTTAATCTCTTAACTTGAAAAAATATATTTTTAATTAAAAAAAAAACTTGGAAATATATATTTTTAATTAAAAAAAACTAAATTATTTGGTGGGGTGCCGGTGTTCTTGTCCTTCCTTCGCTATTAGTATTAATTAGTTCCCACTAAAAAACATAGTTTTTAATATGGTCTGTATGGTTCGATTAAATTTTTAAAAAAATTAAAAAATTATCCTTAAATCGTTCCCCACCAATTTCCTATATTTTCACTCTGCTGGCAACGAATTACAATCTACTTAAATCTTATTATTTTCAAGCTGGATATTAGAGATGAGAATCATTCCATCCATATAAATAAATAAAAGGTTACTATTTTGATGGAAATTATCATTTTATTATTGTGTAAAAAGAAAACGTGTAAAATATTAGAATATGGAGCAAAGCATACAACCAAAATCAAGTATTTTTCCATTCTACTTGTTGATGATTGTGAATGTTTGATTAATCCACCACACCTAAATGGTGTGAAAGTTATCTTATTTATAATCAAATGAATTACAAGGATATGGAAATAGTAATAAATGGAAATAACAATAAATGAAAAGATACCTATGATAATAAGACAAATATCTAATATTTGCCTTATAATAAAATATCAAATATAATGTATATGGTAAACTATAATTTATTACTAAATATCCTTAACAACGATGATAATAATAATAATAATAAACCATCTTCTTTCGTTGATATTCCTAAAAGAATTGGACTTGGGCCTACCCGTTTTCTACTTCGGCCCATTTTCTAGCAGCCTAAAGTGATGTCTCTTTCCCCTTCGAGTTTACCTACTACGGTACCAGAGCTGGGCCACTAGGGGGTCTGTATGTAAATCACTAACGGTTTCTGCTTCTCTATATAAAGGCGAAGAAAGGAGAGAAGGCGGTTTGAAGAAAACCGAACGAGACTAAAATTACGCGGGAAAGCTTCGTGTTCTTGAAGTTGCTCTGACGCGAGGATGATGATATTAGAGTTCGGAATTATTGGTGGCTTACGATGCTGTAAGCTAACACAGGTATGTTTCGGTGATTAGATTTCCATATCGTGATTGTTAGGTCTCATAAATCGTAATTACTGAAGGAATTTGATTAGTCGAAGGGGAAACCAAAGTATTGTTTGAACTAATGATCGTGATTGCTCGGTCTCATAATTCTAAGTTGTTTAGATCTCGATTAGTCGTAATGAAAACAGTTTTCTTATTGAACTAATGACCGCGATCGCTTATTCTCATAAATCCTGATTACTTTACGATTTTTATTTGTCGAAGAAGAAATCAAGTCGTTTATTATGAACTAACGATCGCGATCACTCAGTCTCATATTCCTAATAATCAAAAGGTTTATTGTTCGTCAATCGTATTAGATTAGGTGTCTTAGTCGATTGTTGATTCATTTCGATGATCCGATGATTAACAGAATCTCTGTCGGTTCTTTTTATTTCAGATCCTGTATGAGTTGCTGTAGTACTTGATATTATGAGTTCAAATCTCCTTCCACGGTGAGCTTTGAAAATGATCTCGTGTCAGCGGTGTTTTATGTTGATACGTGAATTTTATTGCTACCTGAACAACAGTTTTCGGTAAGTATTTTGACGATTTTTACTCTGTTATACTTTTTGACCTTTAAGTAAGCTCAGCCAGCGTACATATTCTTCTCTGGATGTCGTGCTTCCTAAATTCTCTCATTTTTATGCATTATAATTAATTGTGATACTTTGGAGTTAATGAATGTCTTGTTAAAGAAATTACTGATCCTGAAGTTATATACATTCAAGAATTGAATTGCATCCGCCTAAGGGCATTGTGATCTGTATTTGGATTTTGTTCATTTACTGGTTGTTACGTGCAATTAGTTCTGCTCTGCTTGTAATATTCCCGATTTTCTTATATGCATCCCGATTTTCTTATTAATTTTGTCAAATTCGTTAGAGAAGTCATTTTCATTAGTTTGATATCTTATTTTTTCTTAGTAGTTGAGTTACTTGTAGGCCTAAGTTATTCTTTAATGATTTTCCATAATTTATAGAAATATTATTAGTTGTTACTCGATTCGAATGTACACTTGTTAGTTTATTCATCATGATAGTTTCGGAAAGATAAGCTCTGTTGAAGATACTATCCCGAGTTAATAAAAAAAAACCAGTAAATAATAGTTATCTGCCTTCTTAGTTTTATTTCTCTCTTACCTGCCTGTGCTTTCTTTACCGTATGCCTTTATGAATAATTTGTGTTGGTGGACTTACTTGGTTAGTTTTCTCTGTAAGGAAATTCGAATGGCTGATAAGCAATCAACTTAAAGCCAGATATCTCCCAGTGAGGAAAAAAAATCTTCCAAATACTTAAGAGTAAATTATGCAAAGCTCAGTGATGTGTGGAAGAATAAAAGTTGTAGGGAAGTCTTCAAAACTGTTGTGACATCCTGAACTTCTTCAGTTTATTTTCCTCAAAACTTCCAGAAAAAATGGGCTTTAAATTCGCTTCTTTTTTTTTTTTTTCGTAATTCCAAAAATTATCCCCTAAAAGTGAGTCAAATAGCCAATACAACTCCGAGATAAAATGGCAATGGACGAACAAATAAAGGCAAGATTTCTTCTGAGGGAACAGCTCACGTGTTAATACCTGCGAAAACTATACTCCATATTGGATTACCTAGAAATACTCCATATTAGTTTTGGGCCTAAAAAGACGAAGAGGTTTATGTTTCCCTTCCCTTATTTTTCTATCTCGTTCCAGTACGTTCGATAGGACAGGGGGAAAAAATCTTTCGTTGCAACTGACTTCTTCTCTTCTACTTCCACCAAGCTCGACAGAAAAAAGAAATTCCCACGATTTTTGCTCATGGTTACTTCATTATAGGATATATTTTTGCTTTTGATTCTTATTGTTGGGTTAAGTTCTTTTTAATTTATTTTTTTCTTACTTTCTTTTTATTATAACTAATTATTGCTGTTAATGTTGACAGGAAAAAAAGCCAGAAAAACAAGGTATGAAAATTTTCTTTGCACGAATGATGTTCTTAGTATGTTTGCTTTAACTTTTATTTTTCCAACTAATTGTTATTATGGCTAGTGGTTGTGCTATCTTTGACAAGAAAAAAAATCACAAAAAGAAAGTTCGAGAAGAAAACTCTGTTCTCGTTTTTTTATACTACATACGGCTTCCTCTAACTATATTGCTGTTAATTGACAGGAAAACACGTAAAAAAAAAAAGAAAGTTCCAGAAATAAGGTATGAAAAATTTATTTGTATGATTTTGTTGGAATGTTTGATTTCGTCAATATGGTGATGATTTATGCGAGAGGAGAGAAGATCGATTGGTTTTTGTTTGAGGAAAAATATTAGGGTAAATATGAGGACGATTTTGTTATATAGTTATGATTTATGACAGAGGAGCGGAGATCCGTTATAGGACAGAATTCGTAACAATACAACGTATATATAAACTCTATGCATGTTCTTTTTTATTTCAGTGTTACAAATTTTGTATGATAAAAATGTTAATAAATAGTTTGGTTCAAATTATGTATGCATGTTCTTTTTTTTTTCTTTTGGAGAAATTTACTGATCAAGTGAATAAGAATACACATTTCTTATTCGTTGTAAAATTATGTGCTTGTTAGAATATCTAAAAGAGAAGTAATTTTGGAGAAATGTACTGATGTTGTAAAATAATGTGCTTGTTAGAATATCCAAGAAGTAATTTTGGAGAAATGTACAAGTAAATATTTTCTAATGTGTACAAGTGTACCGTATAGCACAAAGTAGGAGAGCAGAACTTCAGAAATTATGGTCTTCTAGGTAAGAGGGGCTTCCTGCTGCTATCGCGCGAGGAGTGAAACTGCAACTTTTGACATGCTCGATGTGTTGCTACTACATCCGTAATTGTATGCATCACTGCAAAATGGGTATCTTCCAAAATCTTTCTCCTCTTTTTGCGCTTTAAAAGCACTGCAATCTCTTTTCTCTCTCTTTTCTCTTTTTAAGTTCTACCATTGAATATTAATTATTAAAAATTCCTAGATAAAAACCGTCTTTTTGACACCATTCAACATGACATTTTTAAAAACGAATTTTAAGAATAAAAGAAACACTTGAAATCATTTTTTTTTTAAATATATGTTTTAAATGTTTAAATCAATTTTTTTATAATAAAATATGCTTATAAAGGTTTAATTTGTAATCTCTCCAAAATTTAAAATTTTACTGTCTACACTCCACCACTGGTGGTTCAACTCTACTCCTTCAACCCTACCATACAAAGGTAACAGCCTAGTAAAATCTTAACAACAATTAGATACATGTCCTTCAAGTGCCATGTTTGATTATCATGTTAGGTTCGTTTTTGTTTTATATACCTATTTAGCTATAATTTTAAATTTTGAAAATGCTTTTGAAATTGTCAATAAATTTTAAAATCTATAGAAATATACTCTAAAAGTATTTTATTATTATTATTATTATTTTTTTATAAAACACATTTACGTTTCTCCATTCACAATCTGGAAAAATGCTTTTCAAATTATCAATATATTTTAAAATCTTTAGAAATATACTCTAAAAGTATAGGGGGTAAAAATTAGAACCTAGATTAAAGATATATATGCACAATGAAATGAAAAAAAAAAACACTTGCATAATCATTAGATGATTACCAAATTTATTCAACCTACTCTAGGGTGTATTCTTTTAATTCCTTTTGACTTTTTTAACAACTATGTTTGCATTGGAACTCTCATCATGAATATTTGATTATTTCTTATTCTTGCAAATTAAGCTTTTAATTATTTACTTTTGCAGACTAAGCTTTTTGTTTAGTAATCACATTTTAGCATAGTTCAAAATCCAAATGATAAGACAGAAATTCCTCCCACTTTAAAATTTAGTTCATTTACTAAAAAATTCTAATATTTTAATTCTCTAAATAACAGAACAATTTAATATTATTTCTCTATAACAACATCCTTTACCTACATGTCTGGAGATTTTCATAAAACCTTTGCAATGTTTTTCACGTTATAAATTGTTTCAATTTTCAATTTTATGATTTTTCCTACTGCTACAGCAGCACACATCAACTAGAAACATATATAGTGTGGTTCTATAGTGAGGATGGATTATTCAATGACCACACCAAGATTAAATTTGACACATCTATAGTATGGTTCATGGAAGATGATTTAGCCTAAAACTTCGTTTGTTTCTGGAGATATACTATAGCACAATAGATGGGCCCAAAAAATTTAATGGAATGGGCAATAAGAGTACTTATACCAAAATTATGAGCCCATGTCAATTCGAGAAGTTCGAGGTAAATACTTCAGATACCAAATTTTTATGAATGGATTGTAACGCAATTGAACGGTTGTATTACGCTTGATCAAAAAGAAACCAACAATTAAAAAGCTGCGACTACAGAAAGATGAGTTGACTTACAGCTTTGAGAATCTTGAGATTGCAAGAGTTTCAGGAAGAGGATTTTTTGAAGTAAAAATTGAATGGGTCGATAGGTTTGTATGATCAAAGAAGTTTAATGATTATGAGCCTAAAGAGAAATGGAATCAACGTACAACAATATGATATCTATCTTCACACGACTAGACTCAAGTCCGGTAGGGTAATGTTCCAGTGCGAGTGCAATAAAATAAGTCACAAGTAGCTCTGATATAGGAAGTAGAGTTTTATCCCAAAAACTTTAAAGTTCCTCCCCCCATAGAAACATGGGACTGACTACGGGCAGAATGACTACGGGCAGTTAAAGATTGAAGTCCACAAAAAGGATGATATATATCGTGGTCTTAACGAGGCATTGAAAGATTATAATAGCTCCATATGCCTTAAGATCAGCCAGATCCCAGTATGTGAAAGGTGAAAACCTATTGTTGGAAGGAGTGCATCCGACAACGACCTCCCAAAGTTAAGAATGAAAAATAAGACGGGAAAATTATGAAATCCAGATAATCATTGGTGAGACAATCAAAGGTATCACTTACAAAACATCATATTCTGGGTACCGTCAACAGTTTTTTTCCCCGTTTCTTTTAAATTCCCCAAGGGAGGACACACAAAAGTTGATACCCCAATTTAAATGGCATTAGACACTGAGTAGGGGGGAACTTTGATGCTCGGTGCAAGGTTTTAGATAATGGATCATTAAATTAATCTGAAGTCTGTGTCCTTGGAATGGTATTTTTATGAAAGTAAAACTACTTTTATGGAGGCAGAAAACATTAAATGCACTTTCACTTCATTGAGTAATAACAAATAAGCTAGAGAAAAACTTCGAAGCAGTTCAGTAACAATCATAAAAGTTTCAAATTTCTCCTGCCGAAGCAGCTATCCTAGTCAGCAATTAATGGTGTTTAGCTAAACTAAACAAATCAGATTCAAAATGCTCAACTTCTAGAGTTCCACGTAATTATCATTTTTTACGATTTTGGGCAGATCGAAATAAAAAATTTGGAGCAATAGTGCGGAACTAACCTTGTGGACTTGGAAATCTTCATTAATCTTCACGAGCAAAAAAACTGATGCAAACTGCACCTGTTACCTGTCATCAAACCAAATAGCTTGAACAAAGTTAACTTCATCCAGAGCAACGTCATAAAGAAATACTTGGATAGAGATGTGTTGTTTCTAGGAAATAAATGTAATTAAATTTTACTATTCTGACACATTGGAAGAAATTATGCATAATTTTTATCCACTTGAACCGCTTCACTTTATTCTAATACCAAAATCTCAGGAATGCTGAAAATGAGTTCTTATCCTTAATGTGAAATTACAGAAATCCTTCACCTAATACAGTGCGATGTCCAAATATTGAAAATGAGGATTGTTTTCTTTTTTTTTTTTTTCATGACCAATACTACAATCACATAAAGGATTGTTAAAAAGTTGACAAAATTGCATGTAACAACAAACTCCAAGTTCAGATCACAAATTTCTTCAGCTGAAGCAAATCGATTGTCGATGGTATAAACATTTGTAATAGTACTTTAACAAGGCAATATTCTCTAAATCAGAAAATGTTTCAATCATACATCTTAAACTTGAAAGAAACGAGAAAGTATGAGACTCAGAAAAGAAGTTTGTTATATAGTTATTTCAAATATTGATTAACACGTTAAACTCAATACAATGTTATGGTATACCGGATTATCCATTTACATCCAATCTATACCGATAAATGTTGTTTCTAACCATTCAATTCACACATCAACAGAAACCACCGTTAACACAGTTGTATCGAGACAGATAAATCAAATCGAGATAGTTTAAAACGAGACACAAGTCAGCAACGAATGAAACAAACAGATCAACTTTTAACACTTAATGTGATCCAGTCGACGAACGAAAAACATTTGAGAAACTATTTGATACTAAGCAATCGTGACCATTAATTCAAGAAACAATTTGATTTCCTTGTTGATTAATCAAAATTCTACAGTGACTACAAACTAAGAGAAATAACATCACTATTTGTTTTCCTCTCGACTAATCAAAATTGTAGAGAAACAATTTGATTTCCTTGTTGATTAATCAAAATTCTACAGTGACTACAAACTAAGAGAAGTAACATCACTATTTGTTTTCCTCTCGACTAATCAAATCGTGGAGAAACAATTTGATTTCCTTGTAAATTAATCAAAATTCTACAGTGACTACAAACTAAGAGACGTATCATCACTATCATTTACTTAATAAAAACTATTTGTTTTCCTCTCGACTAATCAAAATCGTAAAGAAACAATATGATTTCCTCGTCGATTAATCAAAACTCTTCAGTGACTACAAACTAAGAGACGTATCGTCGCTATCATTTACTTAATTAAAATTATTTGTTTTCCTCTTGACTAATCAAGATCGTAGAGCAAAGAAATTACTAGACCTAGTAATCACTATCAGTATATTAGAGAACTATTTGATTTCCTCGTCGACTAGTCAAAATCGTACAGTAAAGAAATCATAAGATCTGTCGTTCATGACTCTTAATTAATTGTAGAAACTATTTGATTTCCTCAACGAATCAAAATCGTTGGTGATTATGACTTTTATTACCAACTAAAGAAGAAATCCTTTGATTTACTGAAAGATAAATCACCGATTCATTTATTTAATAAACTATTTAGTTTCCTCTCGACGAATCATACTCGTAGAGAAACGAAATTTTCGAGACCTAGCAATCACTATCATTATTTGAATTCCTCGTCGACTAATAAACGACATTGAAGAAACTATAAGACCTAGCATTCAAGATATTCAACTGAAGATACTATTTGATTTCCTCATCGAAGAATCAAAATCGTATAGTGATTACGAACTATGGAACCAAGAGATCACGATTACCGATTAAAGAGGAAATCGTTTCGTTTTCTGAAAGATTATCCATCCGAAATACCTGATTGCCTGTGATTCGTGAGCCACCGATAAATTCCAACCACTGACTCGTCGCATTTCTTGTGGAGCAAACTCAAAAGCCGCGCGCAAATTTCGCCTTTTTCAACTCTCCTTCAAGTTCCCGCTCTTGGTTTATATAGAGCTTTACGGGAACGTTTGCCAGTTGCGTTTTATTTACGGAGGAGAAAATGGTAAAAAAAAGTACTGCGGTAATTCGTCTGATTTGCACGGATGTAAACGGCGCCGTTTACTAACGGTCTGGACTGGGTCATACTATTAAAAATTAATGGGCTCAAAGAAGCCCAAATACATTGTAAACACAAAAGTATATTTGAATATTTAGATTTGTTTCCCTCTTCCACTCATATGAAATCAATTGCACAATCTACTTCTTTTGTGGTCAGTGTCCATGCTGATACGGGCCCAAAATGGTGTGTGATCCTATAAGGGTGTGAAAACTCCTCTCTAGTAGATAAATTTTAAAACTTTGAGGAAAAATTCAAAATGATGAAAACATCAAAAGGACCATACTAGCAATATAATTTGGGTTGTTATAATATTTGTTAACCAGTGGGTGGATTTTTGACAGTTACGATTTTCTTCATGCTTGTTTCATTGCTTGATTGCTTGGTCCATCAATTTTGTCTACTAGTTTACCCTATAATTTAAAGGAATTAATGACATTATCGACTAAGATTGATCATCAAACACCTAGAAGAAAGGAAAAAGGAGGATCCGAGACAAGGTACAGGAGGGAATGGAAGGAGGCAATACGAAGCCGAATAAAGAAAAATTCTTGGAGCGTGCAGTATTAAATGACACAAACTTGTATTCCTTGCTACTACAACCTTCATTTTGCCTTCATCTTGCCTTCATTTTGGAAACAAAAATTCACATCTTTTTGAATTCAAATCCTTCAACGTTCACCATTACTTCTCGTGAGGCTTCAAGCAATTACTGAAGTCTTTTCAGCTCCTCCATCGACCAAATTTGGGGGATCCTCGTGATGAAGAGCTCTTATATTTCACGAGTTTCATATTTTACACTCAGAATTGCAGAAACGCTTCCCCGATTTGAATTCTCTTGGCCTCCTTCAAATACCCATCAAAATTTGATCCAAAACCATGAACTCATCTCCAACAATCAGTGCCTTGTTTTTGGAAGAAAACTATGGATTTCAACTCCCAAATGCTTCTTCTTTCAACCCTTTTCCTCTGTTTTCTTTCACTTCAAGTTCAAGCAAACACTTCCACTCTTCAAACTTACATAATTCAACTCCATCCACAGGGATTAACCAGCTCTCCCTTTTATTCTAAGCGTCAATGGCATCTTTCTTTTCTTGAACAAACTCTATCTGCTGAAGAAGACTCTTCTTCTCGATTGCTTTACTCATATTCTAACGCCATGGAAGGATTTGCAGCTCAGTTATCTGAAACTGAGATTGAGTATTTGAAGAAATTGCCTGATGTTGTGGCTGTGAGAGCTGATAAAAAATATGAAATTCAAACTACTTATTCTCCTAAGTTTTTGGGGCTTAGTTTAGGCTCACAAGGTGTTTGGTTTAATTCCGCAATGGGCGAAGGAGCAATTGTTGGGGTTCTTGACACTGGAGTTTGGCCTGAGAGTCCAAGCTTTAGTGATTCCAGAATGCCCTCAATTCCTCAAAAATGGCGAGGGGCTTGCCAAGAAGGCCAAGATTTTAACTCCTCAAATTGTAACAAGAAACTCATTGGCGCCAAGTTCTTTATCAAAGGACACCATGTGGCTTCATCCCCGCCATCTGATGTTGACCAGGAGTATGTCTCCCCAAGAGACTCCCATGGCCATGGAACTCACACATCTTCTACAGCTGCGGGAGCTTCGGTCGCCGAAGCGAGCGTGTTTGGTAACGGAGCTGGCGTGGCGCAAGGGATGGCCCCAAGAGCTCACATTGCGGTGTACAAAGTTTGCTGGTTCAGTGGCTGCTATAGCTCTGATATTGTAGCAGCCATGGATGCTGCAATAAGGGATGGTGTTGACATTCTCTCCCTTTCGCTTGGTGGCTTCCCGCTTCCATTTTTCGACGACAGTATCGCCATCGGAAGCTTTCGAGCAATGCAGCATGGCATCTCAGTCAACTGCGCGGCAGGAAACAATGGTCCAATTCAAAGCTCTGTTGCCAATGTAGCTCCTTGGATCACCACCATTGGTGCAAGCACACTCGACCGAAGATTCCCGGCTATCGTTCGACTAAGCAATGGGGAATTCATTTACGGCGAATCAATGTACCCTGGCAACAAGTTCAAGCATGCTACCAAAGAGCTTGAAGTGGTTTACTTGACTGGAGGCCAAATGGGAGGTGAACTTTGCTTAAAAGGGTCTCTTCCAAGAGAACAAGTAGAAGGAAAAATCGTGCTCTGCGACCGTGGCGTCAACGGCAGATCCGAAAAAGGGCAGATTGTGAAGGAATCTGGAGGAGCTGCCATGATCCTTGCAAATACAGAGATAAATCTAGAGGAAGACTTGGTTGATGTTCATGTTTTACCGGCCACATTGATCGGATTTTCCGAGGCGAATCGGTTAAAAGCTTACATGAACACAACAAGCAATCCAAAAGCAAGAATCCAATTTGGAGGAACTGTGATAGGAAGATCAAGAGCTCCATCTGTAGCTCAGTTTTCATCAAGAGGACCAAGCCTTACCAATCCTTCAACGCTCAAACCTGATGTAATTGCTCCTGGGGTCAACATTATAGCAGCTTGGCCACAAAATCTTGGTCCAACTGGCCTTCCAGAAGATTCTAGAAGGTCAAACTTCACTGTCATGTCAGGAACATCCATGGCTTGTCCCCATGTCAGTGGAATTGCGGCTCTAATCCATTCAGCTCATCCAAAATGGACACCAGCAGCCATTAAATCAGCCATAATGACAACCGCTGAGGTTACTGATCATTATGGTAAGCCAATTCTTGATGGCAGCAAACCAGCTGGCGTTTTTGCAATGGGAGCTGGTCATATAAACCCAACCAAAGCAATTGATCCTGGTTTAGTTTATGATATAAAGCCATATGAATATGTCATTCATCTTTGTGCTCTTGGATACACTCATTCAGAAATCTTCATCATAACCCACATGAATGTGAGTTGCCATAAGGTTTTGCAGATGAACAAAGGCTTCAGCTTGAACTATCCTTCCATGTCCGTCGTTTTTAAGCACAAGACGACAAGTAAGGCGGTTTCGAGACGGTTGACGAATGTGGGGAGCCCGAATTCCATCTACTCAGTGGAAGTAACAGCACCCAAAGGCGTTCAAGTTCGAGTCAAGCCTCGGCGCTTGGTGTTCAAATATGTTAACCAAAGTTTAAATTATAAGGTATGGTTTATGTCTGAGAAGGGAAAAGAAGGAAGAAAAGTGAGCTCTTCAGAGGGGCATTTGACATGGGTTCATTCGGAGAATGGGAAATACAAAGTTAGAAGCCCAATTGTGGTGACTTGGAAGAATTGAAGTCACCTAATATGATTCACAAAGATATTGACAGTGATAGTGAGTCACAGTCAGGTTAGTTTAATAATCTTTAGAAATTTTTACTATATATTTCTCCCTCTTCTAATAGAGGCAAGACCTGGTTTGATGTACTTGTCTTCCAGTCATTACATGGTTGAAATTAAATTATATATTCAGCATTTTTGTTAAAATATAAATATCAAAATATAAGATATTATTAAAAATTTAAATAAATAATTACCCATTACCGCAACTTCATTGTGGCTTGGGCCACTCATAGTCTAACCAATTATGTAGGACCAATGCCTAGAGGCAGGCCAGTGGAATAAATAGGGCTGCCCTTTTTTTTTTTTTTTTTTTTTTTTTTTTTTTCTAAATCCAAAAGAAAATAAAAACAATAAAACTAAAAATATAATTTTCGTTAATTAATTTAAATAATTTTAAATGTTTTTAATAAATTCATATATTTTACATAAATTTAAAAATTAATTTCCACGATTAGTTGGAAATTAATTTTTTATAATAATTTCCATTTCACAAATTGATGGGAGATTAAAAGTGGATTAGGAATATATATCAATCTGAAAGTGGATTAGGAAACATTTCATGATTTCAAAAAATCAAATAATAAAAAATAAAAAATAAAAACAACATTTTTACGTCATCATTACTAGAGGTCTTTTTGGATCAAGCATCTAAATCATATGAATCGTCAAATCAATTTACCTAACGACTTAACAAAACATCCATTGAAGTTTATAAATAGATTAATAAATAATAGCAAATGTGGGTCCCACGCAAATGGGGCTCCACATCGGATGCACGTGCCACATGTGCAACCACTACTCTCTCTTGGTTAGGTTGTCTGAGGTGAGCACAAAGTCATGTGGAAGCAAGCACTTCATCCCTCTCCATTGTCATGGATCTCAAAATTAAGATATTTTAAATTCCATTAAATCGTACATTTAATCATTCAAAAACTAGATAGCGACCTTTACAACATTTCTTATTATAAGTTCATTTTTCCAATTTTTTTTTATAAGTTTAATTAAAAAATATATATATATATAAATCAAACATAGTCTAAATAATTTACTCGTAGTATATTTTAAAAAGTTAAATCTAGTAAAATGGTGTGTGTTGAATGATAAGAGAACAGATATTAAGCAAAGAAGGTGGTATTTCACATGGGTATGTTCCAATTAAACAGTAGTCGTAGTACTTGTGTTTTTACATAATTTTATTTTTTATTTTTTTATTTTTATTTTTTTTTTTTTTTATGTAGGAATTTGGGGGAAGCTTCACATGTGGCCATGTGAAATTTGGCAGATTAACAAACAAAAAGAGAGAGATTGGTTGTCTAATAAAAAATGGCAGTTGGTGGGCTCAGACCATGATTGGAATAGTGCATTCATTTTATAATATTTTATAATTTTTTTTTTTTCCAGTTCTGTTCCCCACTTCTATTATTTATTTCACTTTGAAATGTTAAATCCATGAAATTGAATGAAATTGATATGTTAATAATTGGGCGAACATTTTTTGGGATAATTTTATAGTTACGTCACCTACTTTTTGTTATTTGATATTAGTTGTAATAAAATTTTCTAATTTTTTTTTTTAATTTTATAATATCTCAAAGTTTAATCTTCCTCTATCAATTTTTACTCTAAACTTTTAATTTTATTAAAATTAAAATTATAATTTATACTTTATTATATATTTATACTATTTATACATAAATGATATTATAGTTGACTTTTTAGTGAAATTCATAAGCTTTTGTGCTTTTGTGAATTTATTGAAATTGACCAATTTTATCTATTAATCTTTTTTTCCCTGCAAAACATTATTTTTTTATTATTAAATTAGTGTTTTTTTTTTTTTTTTTTTTTTTGTTAAAATTCTTTTGGGTGTTGCCTTTATTATTCATAGCTTCGGTTTTTGAATTATGAGTATGGTCCTGAATTACATATTTGTATCTTCGTTAAAATTCCTCCGTTGGGGTTTTTATTAGTTCGGTGGTAGTTTCAATATGATTGGAGCTGATTATTCTTTTTCCATAGGCCGTGTATAACATTGTGGATGAATTGATAATGTCTTTATTTAGTTGTTCATGAATTTCATACTGGGGTTCTTGCAAAAGCTAAATATCTTTGATATCGAACCGCACTGCTGCTTGCTATCTAAAATGATGTTATTCGNAATTTTATAAAAAAAAATAATGTAAGCTGTAAAACTTGATTTTCTGAGTATTTAAGTTCAATAACAAATTTGGTCCTTATAATTTGGTAAAACTTATACTTTAATTCGTAGGGAGTTAAAAATTAGATGAAATCTTGTTAATAGTCTTAGCTAGCAACTAATTGAATTAGTAGTCATTAAAAAGATAACCGGATATTCAATCACTGAATGACTTTTTAACAATTATTTACGAGATTTTATCAAATTATATAGATAAATTTTATACTCGACCTAAATTAAAGATACCAAATTTATAATTTAAGGGGCAAAGCTAGGGGTGGGGTGTCCTACAATAAAAATTTGATGTGGCTGATATGAATTGGGACAATGAAGATTATTAAGGGCCATTTGTCGTTATATTGGTGTTTTGTTTTTGTTATAACATGGGAAGATTCCTTGGTTTCAATCAACTGTTCATCCAACCAGGTTTTGTTCAGTGGGTTTTAAGGCTAACCATTCAATCCACCCATTAGTGGATCATCATGTTCGAAACAATATCTTTTAATCAAATTGTGGGTTTTGGCATTTAATTTATTTTTAAACCGTTTCTTTATCAGATTACAAAAATAAAATTTTGTTTGATAATGCTGAAATTCATTTTTGTTTATTACATTATTTATTTCGCCTCTACCTTTACAAAATAATATTGAAACTATAAAAGTGAGTGGAGAAGCCAAAAAGTTGCATTTTATTTTATTTTATTATTTCCTTTATATTTCTTTGCATAATTTTTCATTTGGTTATTTATTTTAACAATTATATAATTGTGTTTTATAACCGTTGAGTTTTTAACTAAATTTTAAAATAAAAAAAAAGTTTTATTTTTAGCTATCAAATATTGAAATATTTTGAATATAATTAAAGAAAAAAAAAAGTAGATAAGAACAATAAAATAATTATTAATATACAATTTTTTTTAGAGTCCTATTTCGTGTAATGATTTGGTCAATCAAATAGCCCAAATTACGAAGATAATATTTTATTGCTTCATTTTTACATGATATAAATTTATTATAACCTATGCTTCAATTTAATGAATATTTGTCATACGTAGAAGTTACCCTTAAAATTTTAATTACCAAAGTTGAGAATAACAAGGAGATTTAGTAAAAGCCCAAATCATTTGAGCATGTAGTCTTGGATTTCACACCTATGTGATATAGCATGTAAGCAACTCTCAAAGTGGCTTTAACTATAAATTTATTCACACCTTTTCTTTTTCTTTTCCTTTTCCTTTTTCTTTTTATTTTTTCTTTTTCTTTTAGTAAAGCTCTTACACAATATCAACAACCATCATCATAATGTTGAGAAATGTAAGATGGAAGTTATCTTAATTATATATATATATATTTATTGCAATCCAAAAAGTTCGAGAAAATACCGATAAAATTGAGAAATTAAAAAAAAAACTCTCAAAATCAACTCAAACATAATTCAATTGATTTCAACTATTTTTTTTTATAAAAAAATTAGAATTTCATATATCATCCTAGCTAATTCTAAGTGTAACTAAATTAGTTAAAACATTATATATTTATTGTAAAGTGTACAAATTCCGTCTCTATACTTTCAATAAATTATCCCCTAAACCATACAACCCTAAAAAGTATTGAAAAGTTAACGTTAAATATAAAATAATTATATTATCATGGCATGGGATGAATGAATCAATATTGTTGTCTGTAATGCCAGAAATAAGGGAGGTGGGATATAAAATATGGGTGAAAAAAGGGTGCAAAATTAAAGCAGAATCACATTTTGATGAGTCACATACACCAAGTTGACTATCTTCTTCATAGAAACAGGAGGAGGAGGAGGAGCAATAATTTAGCAGTAGCAGTAACAGAGAGCACATAATTCTCTTCCACGTTTAATGTCGGAGAAACTTCCAAATAAATCCAAACCCTCCTTCGTCATTGTTTGCAGATTAACAGCTGTTGCATTTCCCGATGCCTCCTCCTTCTTCACAAACCCATCAATTTTTCATTTCATTACCCGATTCTGCCATTTATATATTTAAAGAACAGAGCATTTCTTAACCAACTTCTTTCTTCCCACTATCACCAAAGAGCTCACTGTCTCTCTCTCTTTCTGTCACTGAGTTACATGCAGAGAGATGTTTCTGAAAATGGTGGAAATCTGAGAGAAATTGAGAAATGGGTTCGGTGAAGAAGACGATGAAGTCGAAAACCCAGATTTTGTTTTGTGTGTTCTTGTACTGTTGGATTGGTTTTTGTACTGAGTGTTCTGCTGCTGCGTTTAGTGAAGAAGCTTTGGCTTTGGTTTCGTTTAAATCAGGGCTTGTTGATCCGTTGAAGTGGCTTAGAGATTGGAAGCTGGGCGATGGAGATGGTAGATTTGCAGGGCACTGTAACTGGACTGGAGTTTCTTGCAACTCGGATGGAGCAGTTGAGAAACTGAGCCTTTCTCGTATGAATCTCAGCGGCATTTTGTCGAACGACTTGCCTACACTAACAAGGCTCAGTTTTCTTGACTTGAGTTGCAATGAATTCTCCTCTTCTTTGCCAAAATCTATTGGAAATCTCACTTCCTTGACGAGTTTTGATGTGAGTCAAAACTCTTTTGTTGGTGAGATTCCGGCGGGGTTTGGGGAGATGGTTGAATTGAAGAACTTCAATGCCTCAAGCAATAATTTCTCTGGTTTAATCCCTGAAGATCTTGGAAATGCAACTCAGCTGGAGATTTTGGATCTCCGAGGGAGTTTTCTTGAAGGGTCAATTCCTGTATCTTTCAAGAACTTGCAGAAGTTGAAGTTTCTTGGACTTTCTGGGAACAGTCTCACCGGTAGAATCCCGGTCGAGATCGGTCAGATGTCGTCGTTAGAGACGGTTATTATTGGATACAACAAGTTTGAAGGAGGGATTCCGTCAGAATTTGGAAATCTCACCAATCTGAAGTATCTTGATTTGGCTGTCGGAAAACTTGGTGGTGGCATTCCAGCTGAGCTTGGGAGGCTTAAACAGCTTGAGACATTGTTCCTTTATAAGAACGAATTCGAATCGCGAATTCCTTCGTCGATCGGCAATGCTACTTCATTAGTGTTTCTTGATCTTTCAGACAACAAATTGACAGGGGAAATCCCTGCTGAGGTTACTGAATTGAAGAACTTGCAGCTGCTGAATCTAATGTGTAACAAGCTGTCTGGTGAAGTACCTCCAGGGATTGGAGGGTTAACAAAATTACAGGTTCTAGAGCTATGGAACAACTCCTTTTTGGGCGAATTACCGGGTGATCTCGGTAAGAACTCGGAGTTGGTTTGGTTGGATGTCTCATCCAATTCATTCTGTGGTCCGATTCCTCCTTCGTTATGCAATTGGGGTAATCTAACCAAGCTTATCCTTTTCAACAATGCCTTTTCGGGTCCGATTCCGATTGGATTATCAACGTGTTCATCACTCGTTCGTGTTCGAATGCAGAACAATTTTGTATCTGGTACAATCCCAGTTGGTTTTGGGAAGCTTGGGAAGCTTGAAAGGCTAGAATTAGCAAATAATAGTCTCATTGGTAGCATCCCAAGTGATATTTCATCTTCTAAATCCCTTTCTTTTATTGATCTCTCTGAAAATAGCCTCCATTCTCCTCTTCCTTCCTCAATTCTTTCCATTCCAAATCTTCAAACCTTTATAGTCTCTGATAATCATTTAGAAGGTGAAATCCCAGACCAGTTCCAGGAGTGTCCTGCACTTTCTGTTCTTGATCTCTCTTCAAACCATTTCACAGGCAGCATTCCGGAAAGCATTGCTTCATGTGAGAGATTGGTAGCTCTGAATCTCAGAAACAATCAATTAACTGGAGAAATCCCAAAACAGATTGCAAATATGCCTTCATTGGCGGTTCTTGATCTATCCAACAACTCTCTTACAGGTAGAATACCGAATAATTTCGGTATCTCTCCCGCGCTTGAATCGTTTAATGTATCGTACAATAAGCTCGAGGGTCCAGTGCCATTAAATGGTGTGTTAAGAACAATCAATCCAAGTGATCTTCAGGGCAATGCTGGTTTATGTGGAGCTGTCCTACCTCCATGTTCACCAAATTCAGCATTCACATCAGGGCACAGGAACTCACGCTCGACGCACATTATCGCCAGTTGGGTCATCGGAATATCGTCTGTTTTAGCAATATGTATCGCTCTCTTTGGTGTTCGATCATTGTACAAGAGGTGGTACTCGACTGGAAGTTGCTTTGAAGGGCGATATGAAATGGGTGGCGGAGATTGGCCATGGAGATTGATGGCATTCCAAAGGCTTGGATTCACAAGTACTGATATTTTGGCTTGCATTAAGGAATCAAATGTGATTGGAATGGGAGCGACTGGGATTGTTTATAAAGCTGAAATGCCACAGATAAAGACAGCTGTGGCTGTAAAAAAGCTATGGAGATCAGAACCAGATCTTGAAATGGGAAGCAGTGAAGGTCTAGTAGGAGAAGTGAATTTATTGGGGAAGTTAAGGCACAGGAACATAGTTCGATTACTCGGGTTTATGCACAACGATGTCGATGTAATGATCGTCTACGAGTTTATGCAAAATGGAAGCCTTGGAGAAGCCTTGCATGGTAAACAAGCAGGGAGGCTGCTTGTGGACTGGGTTTCAAGATACAACATAGCAATTGGAGTGGCACAGGGTTTAGCTTATCTCCACCATGATTGCGACCCACCCATCATTCATCGCGACGTTAAGCCAAACAATATACTTCTAGATTCAAATCTCGAAGCACGGTTAGCTGATTTCGGGTTGGCGCGAATGATGGCTCGTAAGAACGAGACGGTTTCAATGGTAGCTGGATCGTATGGCTACATTGCCCCCGGTAAGTTTTGGTTGATATTAAACTCTATGATCATACAGCAATCAATTTGATTAGTTGTTTTGTGACTTCTGTCGATTCTGCAGAATATGGATACACTTTAAAGGTGGATGAAAAGATCGACATTTACAGCTACGGAGTTGTTCTTTTGGAGCTGTTGACGGGGAAGAAGCCATTAGATTCCGAGTTCGGAGAATCGGTGGACATTGTTGAATGGATTAGAAGGAAGGTTAGAGACAACAGACGTTTAGAAGAAGCATTAGATCCAAATCTGGGAAATTTCAAGCATGTTCAAGAAGAAATGCTGTTTGTGCTTAGAATTGCTCTTCTCTGCACTGCAAAGCATCCAAAAGACAGGCCTTCCATGAGAGATATAATAACAATGCTTGGAGAAGCAAAACCAAGGAGAAAAAGCAACAGTAATGGCAATGAAGGATTTGGAACTAACAAAGACAAAGAGAAGCCAGTTTTCAACACCTCCCCTGTAAATGGCCTTCTCTAGAAGGAACAACAATGGAGGAGTTTCTGTACTGAAAATTGGCCTTAAAAAATCCCCACCCTCTGTGTTTTAATCCTTTTTTACTCCCTTTTCCTTAATTAATTGTAATGATTGGCTCATTTGTTGGGTGTGTACAAGAGCAGATGATGTATAGTATAAATTACATGTCTGCCATTAGAATTAACTGAAAATGGAAAGGCTTGTATAACAAATAATATTTGAAGTTTCAAGCTATATATGTATAAGCAATACAAGCATATTATTGTAATCATTTTATATTATTGAAATTCAAAACTTTACCTGTTTACAAAACACACATAACCACAGCATTTTCTCTCCAATCTCCATTGGTGGAGAGGAAAACTAGAGCATTATTTGCCCTTATATTCACAACATAAACATTCCCACATCGGAACATGTGCATGGCTTTATGGCTGTGAGTGACTTCAAAAATACACAAATTGTGGGGAACGAGATCAGAAAGCCAAAAAAGAAGTCAATTTTTGTTTCTTTTCTTAATACTTCGCCTATTCCCTCTCCTTTGCACAGTTTTCAAGCTTATATCGGCTGCCTCAGTCCCATACATATTGGCCTTGCTCATATAAATACCAATCCTTTCTCTTGCTGCTCCATAGCTGCAAATTTTCCAGAGAATCGGTGTTGTGCTAAAAAAAAAAAAAAAAAAAAAAAAAAAAAAAAAAAAAAAAAA